TATCTAAATTACAGGAAGTTCAGCTAAGTAAGGAGAAGTTAGAAAGCCAAATGTCCATCATGGAATCGATGATTAAGGACTTCCTGGTTTCATGTGTCTTGAGGATGTACCCGTGAAGTTTGCTGCTTTACAGAGTACGAGAGTAACTATAGTTTCTTATGCATGTGACTGTCTATATTAATATTTACTTTTGGAGCTGTTGAGAACTCTGGCAATGCCATTGATTATTTATTTTTTTATGTATAAACTTTATTTTGGGTTAAACATGCTAATGGACTTACCAGCTATACACATACAGATTTTGAATGTCTGCTGTAACTTTTGGTGTATCCTCTCTAAGTCCCTTACAATTAGGTCCTACTTAGTGGGCGCTTCTTTAACTTTTTGGTTTCCTAAAAGTATTCTAAGCTATTGTTTGTGAGAGGATGCAGAGAAGATGAACCAGAATTGCGGCAGACATTGCGTGAACATACCCACACCCACACGCACACATGCACACCCACACCCACATGCTCACAGACAATTCATGGTTTTGTCCCAAAGAAAAGTATTAATGGATGTTGATCCCTAAGACTTGTTATTATGTCAGACTAAAACATTATTTGCAATACCTGCTAATGTATGTTGGTATGAGCGTGGTGATGATGTGCTGGATATCAGCAAGACTTGGGCAGGAGCTCCTTGCAATGATATTTTTAGATTTACATATTAAGCAAGCACATTCTGTTTTTTGACCTTGGTACTTTATCAATGCAGAGAAATCCTTGATAGCACAAGGAAGGAGGGTGAAGGAAATGCCCGTTTGAAACAACTGGAGGTGACACTGGATGCTGCAGTGATTGGTAAGCAAAGTGCTGAAACTGAGGCTGCGTTGGCCAAAGAGAAAGCAGAATTATTGAAATCAGAGATTAAACAGAGTGAATTGACGGTCAGTGTTTCATTGAACAGTTGGTACAGCATGATAATAATTGCTGGACTCATGCTTTAGATGCTTTATCTTGTATCAATTTTGTTCTCAAATTGTTAGAATTCTCATGTTCATTATCTGCTATTCTCCAAGATGGTGAGGCTGCTCTAGAACATGTGAATGTTGAATGATTGAAGCATTGTTGGTGGGAGACAGCTTGGCAAGGTCCAAAGATGTATGGGTAGAATGATGTTTAGGTGGAAGCAAAGAGTCCGGAAGTTACAGTTATATGAGGGCAGTTAAAAAGCGTGAGTTTAATGGTTAATCCAGGATTTAGATGCCAGCAGAAGGAGGATGAGCTAGAAGTAAAAATGCTAACAGAAATGCGAAACAGGAATCTGTGATCTGCATCGAGAGCCCCACAGGCCCACACATATTATATAGAGTTGAATTTGTTGTACATAGCATGCTCAATGTTGCCATTTGCTTAACAGGAACAATATACCACATCAAGTAACGAATTGCCAAATACATTTTACAATAATAAATAACATAAAAGAACTAAGTAAATATTTATTTAGAATTAGCATACCAAATGACCGGAATGAAATTTCATCACATGAAATTCCAAGCAAAATACTTCATGGCTTGTTAAAACTTCCAAAATTCATTGCTTATTGATCTCTCTTAATGTGTAATGTAACAAGTTGCATAGATTTTATTTTCCAACTGGAAACCAAACCAGAAAATTATTAATCAATATGATGACCATATAAAAAACTATAGGACCTGATGAAAGCCTCCGCCAACCTTGTCTTTTGGCCTTTTGCTAAGATGTAACTTTATATATCAGTTCTAGGTGATGTAAGCTTGGATTTTGGATATTTGCGAGTATAAAAGAATGTTTGATTTTTGGAAGAAAAATAAATATTTTCTCATTGTCTCTAGTGATACCTTAAGTTGAATGAAGTTCCAATTATATGCAACTGAAATAAGAACTTATCCTAATTAGGTTCAAATGTCTTTATTGATAATGCTTAATCTTAAATAATGGTAATTATCTAATTATGAAATCTATGTTTTCTCACTCTATATGTACCATATGTTGCTATGAATGAGATTTGAAGTTCAGGAATCAATCGCTCAATCAAATTGTTAAGTATGTTACGGGAAGAGTTTTTTATCAGGGCATCTGGTAAAATAGTAGATATTTGTTGCTTGGTGTTGTGTTTGGTTGTTGGTAGAGCACAATGGTGCCGTGCGATCTGAGTTACTGATTCCATCTAATGAGATAAGGCTTGTTGTTGATGATGAGTGTAATTGCATTGCATCTGTTCTGACATCTGTAGTCTATTGTCTGCCAACAGTTTCAGTTGCATGCTTTTTATAATATTTATTTTGAACTGCAGCTTGCTATTGTTACTGAGGAAAGAGATAAATTAAGAAATGCGGCTAGTTTGAAGAGTGACAAAGCTGGGGATGTACTGGCAAGTTCTAATCTTGTTCAGGTTGCATTTCATCCCTTGTTGTTATCATTCTCAATGTTTCTTTGTTTGCCATTTGTTTGATTGATTTTTGCACGCAGGACCTTGAATCTTCTCTTGCAAAAAGAGATAGCTGCATAAAGGAGCTAGAAAGCACTTTACTAGAACAGAGGGCAGTTAATAATCGTCAACATGAGGAAATAAAGTTGCTTAATGAGAAGTTAAATAGTGAAGCTAGAAGAATAAAGTCATTGGAGAGGGACAGTGATCGGCTTCGTTCAGAGATTGCTCTATTAGAGGCAAAGGTAGGTGTTCAGTCATATGCATGGATTTATTTGTTATTGGACGTTGTTTCATATGTGTCGAACATGAACTTAAGGTTATTTTGGTTTTTTTCTTAATGATCATATCCTGTATATGTCTTTTCATATTTTTCTGTCATGTATTGACCCATATATGGAGTATGATGCAAATGTTTCTTTCTCTGACCAAATTGGGGCTTCATTGGAGGTTGCGGCATTTATTGGGAATTTATGCTGCTACTGTCAGTGCTAGGGATTATATTTTTATCATGTAAATAACAGATAGACATTGGAAGGGTACATCTGTATCACGTAGTTTGCAAGATGAGGCTTATGTCTTTGTGAAGTATGGGGAAATGCTGAACAATAATTATTTTGTCACTTGTCAATGCTTCCCATAACGTGCTGGAACCTGCTAAAACAGTTCTTTTTTAAAGTTGTCCAGCTTTTAATATTCATCCTACTATTTAACGAATTGCATTTTGCTTTTCCTTTTATAGTTGGGTCACGGTGATTTTTCAGCTGCAAATACGAAAGTTCTGCGAATGGTGAATACTCTTACTGTAGATAATGAGGCCAAACAAACCATTGAAGCATTACAAACTGAGCTGCAAAAAACAAAAGAGAAGTTAAAAGCTGTTGAAGAATTGAAAAGTCAATCAGGTGAGAAAGTTAATGACAGGCACTGAAATATGATTTTTTTTTTTTTGGGGAAAATCACAAACATGTCCTAAATAAGGAAATTAACTATTTCCTCAGTCTCATTTGCATGTCAAACTTTTCTATTTACAAGTGACTGATACATGTGGGTGATGTATTTTCTTTATTTGGGACCTTTATGTAATTCTCCCATTTTGTTTTTTGTTCAAGCTAAGAGTGTAGAGATTTAAATATTTTGAAAGAAATTTGTTATTGTAGCCAGTATTCGATGGGGAATGTTTTGACATTTTTAATTGCTGTTCTGCTTACGCACGCACATCTAGTGTCTAGCTCTCTTCATTTTTGTTCCTTTCACATCTGCTTTGAATACTAATCAGATTCTGGTTGTATATGAGATATTGAAGAAATTATAAGAATGCTGTAGTGTATGTGTTATTGAGCTACTTGAAAATGTGATGCACAATCTAATAAATTAATAACTCAATTCATAATGACTAACATATATGGAAATCAAACTCGCATAAAAAAGGAACTCATAACAACATAATCATCTTTCTGTATTAAAAAAAAAAAAACATAATCATCTCTAAAGAACAATATCAAGTACTAAAATGATATGTTGACAAAGATTTGACTCTAGAGTTTTATCATAGGATAAATAAATTTAGAAGCTTAGCATTAGGGGAAGCCACGAACCCCGATCCGGAAGATAATATATTTTAAAAAGAAGAAGAAGAAGAAGAAGCTTAGCACTGAAATCTCATTTTTTTAACACTCAATGATGATCTTATTTGAATAGCAGAGGGGATAGATATGGGGATTTTGGTCCTAGAATTACCAGAGGACCCCTATGAAATCATGTGTATGATAATCTTTTTAGAGGCATATAAAAATGGAAAGTGGAAATGAAAACAAGAAATTAAGTAGAGCCATTGGCGATAGACATGAAAATCATGTGAGACAAACTATTTCTTTGCTTAAAACCTAGGAATCCTAAACTCATATAGCACTATCCCACAAGCTGGGGAGTAGGTTTAATTCATTTCCTACTTGAATTTGGTTTCTTCAAATTTTACTTTGGCTGAAGTCTTTGTGAGAACTTGAGCAACTTGAGTCTTTGTAGAGTTATAGGCAAATTCACTATCCTAAATTTGCCTTTTCCTTGATGAAGTGATGATGGATTTAACCGTGCTTTATTCAATCCTGCTGAACTAATTCTTGGGCATTCTGTGGTTTAGTATAATTGAATTAATTAGCTAAGCTATCATGTGACTCTAGGCATGGTTCCAAGCCTGCAGGAGGAGCTCTGCTAAGACGAGTACTGTGAAGATGGGATAACTAAAACAGAGAAAAATAAACCTTAGTATACAAGTAAAATGAAATGATTGTTTCAAATGTACTTTTAACGGTTGGATAATGATCTTATTAACAATTAATTGGTATTATTTTTTTTAATATATTAATTTTCCTCATGCTTATTTACTGTTCAGGTGAAGCTGGAAAATTGGTAGATAACTACATATCAGATAAGATAACACAATTGAAAGAACAGATTGCTACTCTTGAGAAGCGAGAAGAAAGGTTAGTGATTTATAAGGTGCTACTAGGTCCTTTCTGGGGTTTTAGATATGAAAATTAAAAATGATTCTGGAATAACTGAAATGCTGTATTATCAACAGATACAAAACAGTGTTTGCAGACAGAATTTCAGTTTTCAGGAGGGCATGCTGTGAACTTTTTGGTTACAAGGTCTTTGATTTAACGTTCAATTTTCCTTAGCAGATAACTAATCCCTGTACCTAGTTTAATTTTTGTCTTTCTTCCTAATTAGATTTCTCCCGCTAAAAAAATGTTGGCAGATTGTGATGGATGAACACCAGCGGTCAAATGGAATCCCAGTGACTCGATTTACCCTTCAGTCAATTTATGCTCAAAGTGATGAAGAGAAACTTGAATTTGAATATGAATCAGGGAATACTAACATTTTGGTAAGCCATGTAATTTTGGATTGAGTTCACAATTAAGAGTATTGAAATGGCATCCTTGGAATTTTCTGTTGCATGACTTATGAAATTTTTTATGATTTCAGTAATTATAAATGAAAATTTAGGTTGATTTTCAAAGATCCAGTGAGGATTCAATATCTTTCGAATCTTGTCTTATGTGTAGCATGACTTTTATTGTTTTTGTCAATGTAACAGACAAATGATTACACATCGCAGCCTGAAATATCCCGTCAGGTGGGGAGGTTCTGAACTTCTGATATTTTTATAACTTTTATTTCTTGTTCATCCTTTGAAAGTAGATATGGGACAGTCATTTCTTTAATCTTGTACAGTGATAAGATCAGGTTCCTTTTTTATTTCTATTTCTTTTGTGCATGAGTGGGTTTGTTTTAGTCTTGGTAGTCACTTTTTGGTCTTGCACTTCAGCAGCAGAACTTCCCCAAGTAGGAAGAAACAAGTCAGGATTTATGAGGTTCTATTTCTCAGCTCAGGCAAACACCTAGGTGCTGCTGTTTTGCCTGTAAAATCTGGACCGTCCAGAATAGATCTGGATGGTCCAGATTTTTCATTTCTATTTTATTTTCATTACAAATAAACCATTTTTTGAATAGTTGACTCGTGAGATTTGTTTACTCTATTCTGCATCTTTTAAAAGTAAAAAAAATCTAAACGATCCATATTTATCATGAAACAGCAGACCCTTCCATTGTAGATGGAAAACGAAGATTTGATTCAGAAAAAGAAATACTACCTTCGATTCTAATTATAAGAGTCAGTTAACTAATTTGAGGAGATTAAAAAAGTAAGCTGAGTTAGTTATTTGTCCTAAATAGATGTCGTCTTTTCTTAAATATCCTTACTAATCAAGTGTATTGACTAGAACTATCATTGTTAGAAGGGCTACTTTGAAAAAAAAAAATGTATAAATATGAGAGACAAAGTAGATTAGAGTCTTATATTTAAAACCAAAATAAAAGTCAAACAGGGTTTTATATTAAGGACCGGAGATAGTATCATCATACATGCAATTTTTGACTGTTTTTGTGTATCTTTTCCCAGGTTGAGATATTTGTTCGGAAGATGAACTCAATTCCTGCTTTCACTGCCAACTTAACGGTGGAGTCTTTCAATAGAAGAACTTTGTCTTAGATGCAATCAACTTGTTACCGCACTGTTCTTTATGGAATTTCCATAGCTGATTATTTGGTATCTGCTGGGTTTTGGTGAGCTAGTGTCGCGACTGAGAGGACCCATTTTTTCTTTGAATTGGGAATTGGTGCCTGATCGATCTATTGGCCGTTTTTCTGCCAAAATTTGTACATATGCTATAAACTTGTGTCTCTCTCTCTAGTTTTTCAGAAGCAAGGAGGAATTGGGAGCAATTCGTGCTTCAATAGCAAAAGGGTGCTTTTCACTATGGATAGTTCGTGTTGATTTTCTATTTGTGGTCAATCGACCTCAATACTTCTACCTCCATATTTTTTGTTCATTTTTTGAACAGTTCAACTATTTTATTAGGAACTTCAGGCATTCAAAACTATTTGTTAGAGCAATGTCGTCCTTTAGTATTAAAATTGTTGCAATATTACAATTTGACTAACAAATATTAACGAGATCAACTCACAATCCAATCAAAATATAGTCACAGCGTAGTTGGGATTTTGTAGTTCAATAACAGGGGTGTTTAACAATTTTTAAAAGTGTTTCTCACAAACACTTTTTTGTAAAACGAGACAAATTTATTTATATATTTATTTTGTGAATTGTAAAAATATTTTTGAAATTATGGTTTGGTTTCTATCCAAACATTCCGAATATCAAATGTCTTATTTAAGTATTTTTTTTAAAGTGGGATTGTGAGTTGGAATCTTTTGTGAAATGTATAATAAATTATGAGTTATGATTGAAAGATAGGTATAATACCTAATATTAATACATATTCATGTATTCTAACAATTTTTTTTGGCTACACTCCATTGGAGGCAATTAATCATATTCAGAGTATTGTCAGTTAGTAGGAATTTGAATTTGATTCGTAAGGTTGTGAGATTCAATTCTTATTGGTTCTAACAAAGAAGTTAAATACACTTGGCATATATAAATGATTCATAACTTAGTGTCCAAGCATCACAAAAAATTACTATGATATGGTATAGAAAAAGTAAAGAGAATCTAATATGTAAAATATTATATATGTGAACCATCTGAATTTAATTAAACAACCCAAATTTGAAATGGAGGGAATGTGTGCATGTAGTTCAGAAGAAATCATTTTCTTAATTCTACTATTGAATTCTCGTCACCCAAAAAAAGAGGAAAGCTGGAATTATTATACAAATCTAAACACACATATATCATAAAAATTTTAATAAGTAGTACAATTTATAATTCATAAACAATACTCTTCCGGTCTTAAATATAAAACCTTTATATTAGTGTGTATAAGGGTTTTATATTTAGGATCGAAGGAGTGACTTATTATTCTTAAACACTGTGCAATGTATTATCCATTATAGTAACAATTGATTACTCTGTTCTTTTTATTCTCTCTTCTCATTTTTTTTCTTATGCTACATTTTTTTTCATCATATATTTTATTATTAGTATTTCTTATTTACTCTCCTATTAAATAAAGATATATTTAAAAGAAAAAAGGGTCAATTTTTATATATTTATTATTTTTCATTAATTTTAACTGTTTTTTAAAATTACGTAATTTTATTAAAAATCTTATAATAAAAACGACTAGAAGGAGTGTTAGATATCAGTATTGAGCATAGCATAATATTTTATTTGTTTCAGTAGATTTTTTATATGCACATAAACATTAATTGCTCAAGATATTTCTTTTATGTACAACTAATTTACAAACATGTTAATACTTATTAATCATTTAATCAAATTACATGTGGGTCTCAACTCTCATGTATAAACAAAGTATGAAAAATAAATGAAAAAATAGCATTGCTCAATATTTTTGCATATGTATTTTTGGGAATACACCAATTGGTTTCTAAAAGGTACATTAGACTACAATTAATTTTGATTAAATTGGGTTATATTACTTGGTTGTAAAACTCATATAATGATAATTTTCTCTACATAAAAGACTCAAATTTGAAATTTTAGTTAAGCTAAATAACTACAGAACCTTCATTCTATACTCTATCAAAATAAAAAGAACGACTATTTTTTTTTAAGGAAAACGTGTATATCTAGCGCATTTATTGTGTGGATTTTGTGAGAGAAGGGTGAATCCCTATTTGCATCTGTTTCTCTATATATATGAATGTGTGTGTGTATATGTAGAGCCGGGAATCAGGGTCGGCCCTTCAGGGCTGGCGGGCTTAAAAGGGCCGACCCTCCAGGGCTGGAATTTTAAAAATATCCCAATTTGCTAGGCCCGGCCCTTAAGCTACAGGGCCAGGGCCGGCCCGCGGGCTTTTGGCCCGTTTAAGAAAAAATACTATTTTTTATATTTATCATATTTTTTATAAAAACAAATCAATGAAATTATTAATAAAAGACATAAATATGAATAAAATTAAGTCACATATAAAATATCATCATATATAAATATTCATCAACATCTAAGAACATCTAAAACATTCATTAACAAGATAACAACATCTAAGTTTTATTTATAATGCAATTGTGCAATAAATAAACACTATTATTAATCTTTTGAAACTTCATCATCACTATAATTAATTACTTTTTTTCATAAGTATACTTTTCTTTCGTAACAAAAATATCAAGTTTTTCTTCTTTATAAGAATTTTATTTTTAAATTTTGCAATCTAACTATTATTTTACTTTAATGTGAGAAACATTGCTATTGAAACTCATGAATTTCTAATTCAAATTATAGAATTACAAGTTATATAAGTATAAAAATATTCTATTATCAAATATATATATATAGTTTAAAAATATCAACGCATATAATATAAATCAAATCATTATTAAAGTCCAAATTAACCCATTTTTTAAAAATTTAATTGGATAAATTATTATCTAAAACTAAATTTACTTTTAAAATGATAATAATAACTAAATATTTGAAATATTATTAACAATGTAAAAAATTAATAACATTAATATTATATAAAAAATTTAAAAAATAAAAAAAAATATAAAAGGGCTTAAAAGGGCCGGCCCGTGGCCCTCCAGGGCCGGCCCTTTTAAGCTCTCGGCCCTCCAGGGCCAGCCCTCCAGGGCTTATGTTTCATTTTAAGAGAAAAATATCAAGCCCGACCCTCATAATTTCAGGGCCTAAAAGGGCCGGCCCGACGGGCTCGGCCCGTTTTCCCGGCTCTATGTATATGTGTGTGTATGTATACTAAAAATTTAAGGAAATTAAGTTTTCTACCATCATATAACTAATTATGTATATACAAAATTAAGAATTAAGAAATATAATTAAAGGTAAATCACACACACTCTCTCTTTCCCATGAAACTGTTTGGAAATAAATCTCCCCCTCCCCTTTATTATGAAATATGCAAACCAACGTGTTTGTATATAAAAGTAGAAATATTGGGAAAATCTCATATATATATATAGAGAGAGAGAGAGACTCAAAATCGGCACTAAAGAGATATAGAGGAAATAAGGTTGAGAGAGAGGAAAAAAGAAAAAGAGAGAGAATAGTTAACTTTAGAGAGAGAGAAATGGAGCAAATTAGGAGAGAGAATGCAAATACAGACGTAGAATCAGAGAGCTATGTCGATTGGAGAGGAAGACCTTCTAATCCTAACAAGCATGGTGGAATGAGAGCTGCTTCTTTTGTTCTTGGTATCACTACCCTATCCATTTCTATTTTTTTTTCCTATTTTCTTTTTTGGTTAATTTGATTGTTAATTGTTGGATTTCTTTTGAAGTGCTTTTAATTGAGAGAAAAATGACAGGAAAATAAGGAGGAGAGAAAAATTCAAAAAAGGTAAAAAAAGATTTATTATTTTTGGGAGTTCCTTCTTCTACAATTATTTTCTTCCTGTTTTTCTCCCTATCCAAATAAGGGAACTTAGAGATTTGATTTTGAATCGAAAAGTTAAAATTCATTATGGTTTATATTTTGCATGATTAATAAATTGTCCCAATCCTTACCGATTAAATATTTTATATAACTTTACAGGCTAAAGTAAAGAGTTACATTTTTCATGTTCGTTATTTTTAACTTTTTTTTTTGTAATATGATTATTGTATGTTATGAAAAACGGGAGACAGCGTTTATTAGTTCAAAATTTATTGGTAGAGTCATATAATCAAATTGGCCGATTGTATTATTTACTTCTAAAGTTGTACATAAATATAAAAATATGATTTTTTTTAATCAATTTTGTGAATTAGCTTTTACTCTTTTTTTTTTAATCAAAACATATATGGATTTTGATTATTGCATATATGGCTCTTATGATTACTAATATTTAAAGAGTAAAAACGACACAGGTTTTCAAGCATTTGAAATAATGGGAGCAGCAGCAGTGGCAAACAATCTGATAACATATTTGAAAAAGGAAATGCATTTCTCTCTTCCAAAGTCAGCCAACATTGTAACCAACTTCATTGGCACTCTTCTTCTCATGGCTCTTCTTGGTGGCTATCTTTCTGATTCTTTTCTTGGTAGCTTTTGGACCATCCTCATCTTTGGCTCTCTCGAGCTCTTTGTAAGCCACCTTTCATAACTACTTAATCATGGATAATATGAATTTTTATAGGTTTTATTGTATATATTATAAATAGATATATAGATTTTATAAGTGATTGATTAAATAGATGTATTGTATATGAAATTTAAGGTGGATTGCCTTATATATGACTTATAAATAATAAGGATGCCTAAGGGATAGGGATTTTATGTTTTATAAAAACAATATTGATTTTAAGATGTTTTAATTTTTAATTTTAACAATCAACTTTTTAAGTTGATCGTAAGAAGAAAAATCTTCATTTCACTTTTTTTTTATAGAATATAGTACATTATATAAATATATATATACAATATATGTTATTTTAAAACTTAAATCTAATAGGAAAGATTAGAATAGGTTAAAGTAACATCAAGCATTCTGATACTTCCCAGTGGCATCCAACTCTCTAGTCTTACTTATGGTGAATTCAACAACTTGATGTTCTGTTCCATCCAGCAATCCCTATGTTATTTTCCGATTACATTCAACACTCTAACCTTATTTATGATTCATGATGCTAAATTTATTATAATTATGATTAGGGTGCTACGTCTTACTTTACCTATTAAAATAAAATAAAATTCTCTTCCCCATGAAACATAAAGAAACTATCTCTTATAAGAAATTCCATTGGGCATATTAATGATAATTCTTTTCAATACCTCATGTTATAGAACAACATCAAGGCTGAGGTGCACTTTATTGTTTCTCTATGTCTCTTTGTACATCACTTAATTAAAGTACATAATCAGAATGGAAAAGTATTGCATGCTATTAGGATTAATGTGAAAAGTGAAGCAAAGATATATAAGATAAAACGTTATTTATTTATTTATTTTCTAAT